CCCCAGTCCCAGGGCTCGCCCCAGGGCTGGCACCTTTATTGATTCTTAGTATGTTTTTGTTGAAAGGAAGAAAGAGAGAAAGAAAGAAATGAAAAGTGACTATAAAACAAAATGTGCAGACTGAATTCCTTGTGTCTTTGCTGTTGTATTCTTAGCATTTTTTTTTTCTGTGCAAGCTCTTCCTTGTCACCCCTCTAGTTGTGACACCTGGGCTCTCGAGCTGTGCACATAGGCTTAACTGCCCCATAGCATGTGAGATCTTGGTTCTCCGGCCAGGGATAGGAACCATATTTCCTACATTGGAAGGTGGATTCTTAACCACCCTGGCCCAGGGAAGTCCCTCGTAGCATCTCGTAATGCTCGACCTATGACAGGCGCTGATTAAAAGTGTGCTAACGGAATAAAGAACCGTGGGGTTATCCAGGGTGTTTCCCCCCCTCCCTCTATATCACATTGTTAGTCTTATTCTGTAGCTGGAGAAACAAGGTTGGGGAACAAAAGCCTTTCCAAAGTCAAGTAGCTGGGGACAGCTTTAGCCAAATACAGCAGAAAGTGGGTGGTGGAAGGTGGCTTAAGTTAATGGCTTAGTTAATTTAATGCTTCTATATAAGAAGCCGATGTAGAGGCAGTCTAGACCTGGTCTGATAGCCTTGGGATCTGCTTCAATCTGTCTCCTCCACAATCCTCCAGAGCCCACTTCTCTAACTTCAAGTTCAGTGCATAGCTCCAAGATGCCTGCTGGAAAAACCCGTGGATGGACAGCCAGTCACCATGTCCACATTCCAAGAAAACAGCAAGTATCAGCAGGCGAGGACAAAAGATCTCTCACCTTACCCGCAACTCCCCGGCCTTTTAAGAAACCTTCCTGCAAGTCCCTTATGACACAATCTCTTGCATCTCATTGGCCAGAACTTTGTCTCATGACCACTCCCAAGTGTAACGGAGCTGGAAAGGTTATCTGGATCTCACTGGATTCCAATCGGTTACATGTTTTTTGTTAAAAGTGGAGGTCTGTTCTTTATAGAGGGGGGAGAATGATGTTGGAGAGCAAAGAACAACCTCTGCCGTAGCCAGAGAGGGGCAGAAAGATTCCCAGCGTATCCTGGGTCTGCTGTACTGTGCACTGCTCACACATGTCCTTTTGCTGCTAGGTCTTCTGTTGCATGGACCAGTGAGTGCGTCAGAGTCTGGGGTGTGGACCTCTGTTAATCTGAGACTTTTTTTGTGTTGAACAGGCTTCTGTGTATTCAAAGACCAGAGGACACTGGAGACACTCAGAAGCAGTTTATGCCTCTGAAACAAAAATTCAGACACAAAAGTAGCATAAAATGGTGCTAGGGAGTTAGGCCAAGGTGGAGAAATGAGAGATGCTACGTGTCTGATCCATTGTCCCAGGATCCCAGTAGATCTCAACAGGTTGAAGCAGCAGTCTGAGTGTAATGAGACAGAAATGAATAAGAATCAGATATGTACATGCTTCAGTCAAGTCCGACTCTTTGCAACCCTATGAACTGTAGCCCACCAGGCTCCTCTATCCATGGGCTTCTCCAAGAGAGAATACTGGAGTGGGTTGCCATGCCCTCCTCCAGAGGATTTTCCCGAGTGAGGGATCGAACCTGCCTCTCTTATGTCTCCTGCATTGGCAGACAGGTTCTTTACCACTAGCGTCACCTGGAAAGCCCCAAATAGCTTACACTTGAGTCCAAAAGAAAACCAACAGGACAGACTGATGTGACTTAATATCAGCAGAATAAAAAATCCTTGAGGTGATTTCACTGGCAGCAACTTGAGCCATGATTGAATTGGGAGAGATTTTGTCATTTGCTGTGGTCAGTAGGAGCACAGAATTGGTGAGTGAAGTGAGGGTCATGCTGTTATGTACAGATTAGACTATACCTATAACCCTGTTTTCAGTTCTGAGCTGTTTAAGGGAGAAAGATAGGCTAGTCTTAAAAGAGGCGTAACTGGGATGTGTTTGGAGAGCTCCTCTCTCTGTCTCTTTAACATTTTTATCAATCACTTGGGTCATGCCTGCTTATCAAATTTGTGGATTGCTCTAGTCTGACAGAGGCAGGAGATACTGTGACTGACAGGATCAGTCAAGAAGAACAATGGACCAAAGTCAGCCCATGAAATTGAAAATAGAAAGCCCTGAATTTTGGTCAAGCTATCAACTGGGCTAGACGGGGAGGAGGGAGACAGGGCCCACTAAGGTACCATTGTGTCTGTGTATCCAGGGACCACTGAATGTTCAGCTCTGCCAAGGAGCCTGTGGCCAGTACTGACACTCATGACTTTGCCCTGGGCCAGGGTTTTGCCCTTGGCTTTGAGAATTCACATACTCTATGTGTTCCAGGGCCTATTGGGCTTGGAGAGGTGGAGCTATACTGATGCTTACAGGAGGCTAAGGAATAATAATAATTCATGCCAAGTGTATTGATTTTCAGTATAAAATATTATTGTTAAGTAATACACATATATATAACTTAAAATATTGCATGTATATATATGCACATATATATATATATGCTTCCCTGATGTCTCAGACAGTAAAGAATCCATCTGCAATGCGGGAGACCTGGGTTTGATCACTGGGTTGGGAAGATCCCATGGAGAAGGGCGTGGGAACCCACTCCAGTATTCTTGCCTGGAGAATCCCATGGACAGAGGAGCCTGGTGGGCTATAGTGCGGAGGGTTGCAAAGAGTTGGACATGACTAAGCGACTGAGGACCCAGCACAGCACAGTAGGGCACTTATATACACACATACATATAAATGTATATGCTGTTGTCTGGTCACTCGGTTGTGTCTGACTCTGTGATCCTATGGACTGTAGCCAGCTAGGCTACTCAGTCCATGAGATTTTCCAGGCAAGAATATTGGAGCAGGTTGCCATTTCCTTCTCCAGGAGATCTTCCCAACCCAGGGATCAGACCTGAGTCTTCTGCATTGGCAGGAGGATTCTTTACCACTGAGCCACCTGGGAAGCCCACATATGCACATGTAATTTTTCTCCCTTTTCGGAAAAATGATATGCAAGACAAATAATACCGCTAAGATTTTTCAAGGGACATGGAATTGAAAGGGATATGAGTAGTGTGACTTGAATGCTTGATGACATGGCATTAAAAGAGCCCAATGAACCCGTCTTTCTAATATGAATGTTCCCATGCTGGAAACAGAGAGAGACTCTAGGTAGGTCAGTTTACAGGCCACTTCTATAGGCCTTGGAAATCATTTTATCTCTTTAGGATGACTTGGCAGAATTCCGTTCTGTCCTTTTATTGTTGATATATACTATAGGTCTTAGGAAACAACCTTTTCCTCCCTTTCCTCTAGACTTTGAGGTGCATCAGCTTGCTTTTCCTCCGAGGTCCCAGCGGGATGTGGGAAGAAGGACTGACCCTGAAGAGTTAAGCTCATTAAGCCTTCCCTGCTGTCTGGTGGTGGTGGTGAAAGTTGCTCAGTGGTGTCCTACTCTTTAGGACCCCACGGACTGTAGCCCTCCAGGCTCCTCTGTCCATGGGATTCTCCAGGCAAGAACACTGGAGTGGATGGCCAGTCCCTCCTCCACATGATATTCCCAACCCAAGGATTGACCCAGGTCTCCTGCTTTGCAGGCAGAGTCTTCACCCTCTGAGCCCCCAGGGAAGCCCCTCATTGCTGTCTACACCCGGTCATTTCTCTGGAGGAAAAATAAATTCCCCTTCTCCAAATCTGCTGCCCTTTAGGGATAGAGTCCCAGACAGCCTCAATCAGTGCCCCGCACTCTGCCCGCCTCGTGGGCACAAGTGCAAACAGTGCTAAGGCATCCGCTTTGACTTTTCTCCCTGTTCTCAGTTCCCAGGGGATGGCCTGATGCATTCATTCACTTGTCCCAAGGGATTCCTGCTTTCCTCTTCTGTTTACGGATGTTCTTGTTACATCTCCTTTAGCACCTCCCAGTGAGAAACAGAGGGTACACTCACATTGGTGAGAAGAATTTAATACTGAGCTGCTTACAAAGCTGGGAGCAGGGTTTAGGGAAAGCACGAAGAACAGTCCAGTACTACAGGGCTGTGGGGTCTGCGGCGGCGGCGGCGAAGTCGCTTCAGTCGTGCCTGACTCTGCAACCCCATAGACGGCAGCCCACCAGGTTCCTCTGTCCATGGGATTCTCCAGGCCAGAATACTGGAGTGGGTTGCCATTTCCTTCTCCACTATGGGGTCTAGTTGCCATCATAGGTCTGAAGGAGTGGAGAGAGGAGGAGAATCAGGAGACAGAGGAGGCTGGGTGATATGGACCTTCCCACAGGATCCCTGGCCTTGGGCAAAGTCAGTCCATGGCAACCCCACAGCAACAGTAATAAATGCCACACTCTTGTTGGCTTCTCGCTCTTCCTTCTTCTGCTGGTGTGCAACATTGGCCAAACCCAGTTGCAAGTCAGTGGGCAAGGGAGCTCAGTGATATATGCTGAGGAATTTAACCTCTCAGGGTATAGCAGAGTGAACAAAAGTGGAGAGTGGACTTAGAGGGGCAAATGGAATAATCCAGCAAACTGCTGAAGGCCAGATTTTGTTATTAACATCCTTATTTTCTTCATATCTCATCCTGCACATAGTAGGTTTGCTATAGTTTATGTGACTATGACTTTCTTTTTTTTTATTTTTCCATTTATTTTTATTAGTTGGAGGCTAATTACTTTACATCATTGCAGTGGTTTTTGTCATACATTGAAATGAATTCGCCATGGATTTACATAAAATAAGAGATGGATCATTGGCTTCCATATTCCAGGGCTCAACCAGTGCCCCAAAGCTGCTCCGTAAGTATTTGTTGGGTGACTGGTGAGCGAATGAATGAATCAATGAGTGAATGAATGAATGAAGTGAGCTCCGTGGGGCCTTGCCCTTATTTGTAGCTCAGTGCTACAGATTCTGCTTGCAGCCTCTCCCCCGTCTTACTTATAGGCTCCTAGGACCAGTTCCTGTTACTGAATTTCTGTAACCCCCTCCTGTACCTGGGACTGGCCGTGTGATACGGTTCTGGGATGCTTTGCTTCATCACCGCAGCGCCGAGTAGCAGCTCCTGCCTCGGGCACAGGCTCTGCTCTCTCTGCTCGGCAGTCAGTCTTTCTGTGACAGATGCGGAGCTCCTGTCCTCCTGCCAGGAAGGTTCTTCGAGGAAATCTCTGCTGGCTCTAGGCAGGTGAAATTGCTTTCTCCCTGACACACTTCCATGTATATGAACCGTTACGCAAACATCAATTTCCTCCTCTGTCATGTTCTCGGCTCTGTCCAGGTGGACAAGACGTCACTAGGCATAAGGACGAAGAGCTGCAGTCCAGAGGGAGAGGAGACAAGCAGTAGATCATTATTAATAGGGTATCAGTGAGGTTGCCGGAAAAGAGTTCTGCAGGAGCACAAATGAGAGGCGTATATTCCAACCTGGAGGTTCCAGGAAGTCTTTTTGGAGGGGCTGGCATCTGATTTTGTAGGATGGGAATGAGCTAAGCAATGGAAAGTGAGAAATGTGCTCCAAGCCAAGTGAAGAGTATGATCAAAGTAACAGATGCCTGGCGCTGCGGAGTGTATGCAGGAAACACGGACAAATCTGCACGGTTAGCGATAAAGCGGAGGCATGGCGGGATGAGCTGCAGGTGGTTGGAACGGCAGGTGGGAGCAAGGATGTGGAAGACTTGGCATGCTAGGATTAGGTGTTATCAGCACTGCAGCTGCAGTGGGGTGCATGGGGCACGTGCCTCAAATGCCACATTTGAAAAGGCTTCCAAAACTTAGCAGTCAAGAGAAAAATATCAAAATTTGAAATAAAGATGAATCTGTATCACTGACTTTTTCCTTTTGCCTCAGAATCCAACAAGGCTCAGAATGACAGTTACTGATCTTGTCTTTATAACATTGACGTGTATTGATCTCTTCAACAAATGTTGTCCAAACAACTGTATATCCACATGCAAAAGAATGAGGTTGGACCCACACGCCATATCATATACAAAAATTAGCTGAAAGCACCTGATAGTCCTAAATGTAAGGGCTAAAACTATACAGTCCCCAGAAGGAAACACCAGGAATCAGTTTTCATGATCTTGAGACAAGCAGTAATTTCTTAGATATGACACTAAAATCACAAGTGATAAAAGACTGACACATTGGACTTCATTACATTTAAAAACTTGTTTTCCTAAGGATACCATTACAAAAATGAAAAGACAGCTTAAAGATAGGGACAGAGTATGTGCAAACCATACATTTGCTAAGGCACTTGTGTGAGGAGTATGTAAACAACACTTCAGTTCAGTTCAGTTCAGTCATTCAGTCGTGTCTGGCTCTTTGCAACATGGACCACAGCACGCCAGGCTTCCCTGTCCATCACCAACTCCTGAAGCTTGCTCAAACTCATATCCTTCAAGTCGGTGATGCCATCCAACCATTTCATCCTCTGTCGTTCCCTTTTCCTCCTGCCTTCAATCTTTCCCAGCATCAGAGTCTTTTCCAATGAGTCAGTATTTGCATCAGGTGGCCAAAGTATTGGAGTTTCAGCTTTAGCATCAGTCCTTCTAATGAATATTCAGGACTGATTTCCTTTCGGATGAACTGCTTGATCTCCTTGCTGTCCAAGGGACTCTCAAGAATCTCCTCCAGCACCACAGTTCAAAAACATCAATTCTTCAGTGCTCAGCTTTCTTTTAGTCCAACTCTCACATCCATACATGACCACTGGAAAAACCATAGCCTTGACTAGACAGACCTTTGTTGGTAAAGTAATGTCTCTGCTTTTTAATATGCTGTCTATGTTGGTCTTAACTTTTCTTCCAAGGAGCAAGCATCTTTTAATTTCATGGCTACAGTCACCATCTGCTGTGATTTTAGAGACCCCTCAAAAATAAAGTCTCTCACTGTTTCCATTGTTTCCCCATCTATTTGCCATAAAGTGATGAGACCAGATGCCATGATCTTAGTTTTCTGAATGTTGAGTTTTAAGTCAACTTTTTCACTCTTCTCTTTCACTTTCATCAAGAGGCTCTTTAGTTCTTCACTTTCTGCCATAAGGGTGGTTTTTTCTGCATGTCTGAGGTTATTGATATTTCTCCCAGCAATCTTGATTCCAGCTTGTGCTTCACCCAGCCCAGCATTTCACATGATGTACTCTGCATATAAGGTAAATAAGCAGGTTGACAATTTACAGCCTTGACGTACTCCTTTTCCTATTTGAAACCAGTGTGTTGTTCCATGTCCAGTTCTAACTGTTGCTTCCTGACCTGCATATAGATTTCTCTGGAGGCAGGTCAGGTGGTCTGGTATTCCCACCTCTTTAATAATTTTCCACAGTTTGTTGTGATCCATATAGTCAAAGGCTTTGGCACAGTCAATAAAGCAGAAGTAGATGTTTTTCTGGAACTCTTGCTTTTTCAATGATCCAATGAATGTTGGCAATTTGATCTCTGGTTCCTCTGCCTTTTCTAAATGCAGCTTGAATATCTGGAAGCTCATGGTTCATGTACTGTTGAAGCCTGGCTTGGAGAATTTTGAGCATTACCTTTTTAACATGTGAGATGAGTGCAATTGTGTGGTACTTTGAGCATTCTTTGGCATTGCCTTTATTTGGGATTGGAATGAAAACTGACCTTCTCCAGTCCCGTGGCTGCTGAGTTTTCCATATTTGTTAAGAACACTTAACAACTCAAAAATAAAATGACAAATACCCAATTAAAAACTGGGCAAAAGATTTGAGAAGATATTTCTTCAAAGAAGATGAATGGCTAATAAGCATGTGAAAAGATGCTCAATGTCCTTAGTCTTTAGGAAAATGGAAATCAAAGCCACAATGAGATAATATTTCACATTCAATAGAATGATAATGATAAAAAAGACAGAGCAACAAATATTGATAGGGATAAGGAAAAACTGAAACTCTCCTACATGGCTCATGGTAATGTGAAATATCGTGCATCCATTTTGGAAAACAGTATGGTAGTTCCTCAAAAAGTCAAACAGAGAGATGTCATATGACTTTGCAATTCCATTTCTAGGTATTCGCCCAAGAGAAATGAAAACATGTTCAAGCAAAACTTGTACATGAATGTTGATAGCAGCGTTATTCATAGTAACCAAAACATAGAAACAGCCCCAATATCCACCCATTTTGTTAAATGGATCAACAATTGTGGCATATTCATGCAATGGAATAATACTTCATCATTAAAAAGGAACGAAATACTGGTGTGTGTGTGTGTGTGTGTGTGTGTGTGTGTGTTAGTTGCTCAGTAGTATCCATCTCTTTTGCAACCCCATGGACTATAGCCCACCTGTCCCTTCTGTCTATGGGATTTCCCAGATAAGAACAATGAAGTGAGTTGCCATTCCTTCTTTTCTCCAGGAGATCGTCCCGATCCAGGGATTGAACCTGGGTTCCATGCGTTGCAGGCAGATTCTTCGCCATCTGAGCCACCAGAGAAGCCCCATGGATACATATAACCATTGTGAAATGAAACACAGATAAGCATTGAAAGCGTAAGTTAAGTGAAAGAAGCCAGCCACAAAAGACTGCATACTGCATGATTCCACTTCTATGAAATGTCAGGGACAGGGAACATGTGCGGTGCTTAGTCACTCACTTGTGTCTGATTCTTTGCGACTCCATGGCCTGCAGCCTGCTAGGCTCCTGTGTCCGTGGGGATTCTCCAAGGGAGCTACAGAGAGATAAAATGTAGCTTAGTAGTTACTAAGGGAGCAGCACCAATGCTGGAGAGTGACTGTTAGCAAGGTTATTTTTGGGGTGATCACACTGTTATAAAATTAGTTATAAATCAACTCTACTCCAATAAAATTTTTTAAAAAACTGTTAAAAATTAGAATATGGTAATGCTTGGGCAATTTTGTAAACATACCAAATCACTGAACCTCACACTTCAAAGAGATGAACTTTTGGTATGTAAATTACATCAAAATAAAGTTAAAACATTATTCACCTTGATTCCTGAGTGTTTGGGCACTTCCTTAAATCTTGTCCCTGGGGAAAGTGCCTTACTTGCCTCCCTCCAGTGCAGGCCCACGGAGTTAGACTTCATCGTGTGTTTTATAGGAAAGCTTTGAAAGGTTTAAAGCAGTGAATGGTCTGGTTTGTCTGCTGGTCATGTGGCTTTGCAGTGTGGGGGTGGGGGTGGCTAGAAATGGGCAATGCCAGAGGCAGGAACCCACTTGGGAGGTGGCTCTGAGAGCTTCTCTCCTGATGAATGAACGTGGAACCAAGAATGTGTGCGGAGAGCTGGTTAGGAGGGAAAATTGATGAGCTTGACTTGGGAGGGAGAGGTCTAAAATGCCTCCCAGGCTTTCGAGTCAATCTCAGTGCTACTGACTAACTTTGCACTTGGTGGAGTCTGGACTGCTTTTGAAGTAATCAGGGGATTATAAACCACCAGATCATTGCTCTGTTGTATTATCTCCTTGCTGAAATCTTGATGGCAGTCTTCTGCTCTTAGAGTAAACCCCAGGTCCCCTGCCATGGCCTCCAATTCTCCCTCTTCTTCACCCAGTTCAGCCACTCAGGTCTCTGTTTTGCTCCGAATATGCCAAGGTAGGTAGGATTACTTCTGGGACTCAGTATTCAGTTCTTCTGCCTGGAATCTTCCCCCAGCTCTTTTTATGACACAATTTTTAGTGTTTCCCTGAATTATTATGTTTTCATGAAGTCTCTCAAAGGGCCTTCTCTGCTTACCTTTTACGTCATCATTTAGTGTATTAATTTCCTACAACCACTGTGACAAATCTCTACAAACTTGCTGAAAACAACAGGAATTTATCTCACAGTTCTGTAAGTTAGAAGTCCAACATGAGTCTCATTGGGCTACAGTCAAGGTGTTGGGAGGGCTGTATTTCTTTTTCTGAGGAAAAAATCCATTTCCTTGCTGTTTTCAGTTGCTATAGCTCACTCATGACTCCTTTCTTCCATCTTCAAAGCCAGCAGCACTGCATTTCTGGTCATTCTTCAGTTCAGTTCAGTTGCTCAGTTGTGTCTGACTCTTTGTGATCCCATGGACTGCAGCACGCCAGGCCTCCCTGTCCATCACCAACTCCTGGAGTTTACCCAAACTCATGTCCATTGAGGTGGTGATGCCATCCAACCATCTCATCCCTTCTCCTTGCGCCTTCAATCTTTCCCAGCATCAGGGTCTTTTCAAATGAGTCAGCTCCTCGCATCAGGTGGCCAAAGTATTGGAGTTTCAGTTTCAGCATCAGTCCTTCCAAAATCCATTCTTAGATACT